TCACCACATACATGGAATTTCTCTCCAGTATGAGTTCACTAATGAACAGTGAGAGCAGTCTTCTTGATAAATGCTTTTCCACATTCACCACATAAGTGAGGTTTCTCCCCAATATGAGTTTGCTGATGACCAGTGAGAGCACTCTTCATCATAAAGGCCTTTCTACATTCACCATGTACATGGGGTTTTTCTCCAGTATGAATTCGCTGATGATCAGTCAGGGCACTCTTCTTGCTAAAGGCTTTCCCACATTCAACACATGCAAAGGTTTATCTCCATATGAGTTCACTGATGATCAGTTAGGTTCTTCTTGATAAAGACTTTTCCACCTTCACCACGTACATGCGGTTTCTCTCCAGTATGAATTCGCATAAGAACAGTGAGCTCATACTTCCAGAAAAACGATTTTCAACGTTCACCACATACATTGGTTTTATCTCCGGTGTGAAATCTCTGATGAACTGTAAGGCATTGTTCTAAGTGAATGTTTTACCACACTCACCACAGTCATGTGATTTTTCTCCAGTATAATTTCCCTTATGAACAGTTAGAGAAGTCTTCCAGATAAAGGACTTTCCACATTCACAACATACGTGAGGTTTCTCTCCAGGATGAGTTCGCTGATGATCAGCGAGGTCCTTTTTCCGGATAAAAGCTTTCCCACATTCACCACTTACACAAGGTTTCTCTCCAGTATGAATTTGCATATGAACAGTGAGCTCATACTTCCAGAAAAAGGATTTTCAACGTTCACCATATACATTGGTTTTTATCTCCGGTTTGAAATATCTGATGAACTGTAAGGAATTGTTCTGAATGAAAGGTTTACTACGGTCACCACAGTCATGTACTTTCTCTCTAGTATGATTTCCCTTATGAACAGTATGAGAAGTCTTCCAGATAAAGGTTTTTCCACATTCACCACACACATGGACTTTCTCTACAGTATTAGTTCGCTTATGATCAGTGAGGTTTTTGTTCCAGATAAAGGCTTTTCCACATTCACCACATACGTGAGGTTTCTCTCCAGGATGAGTTCGCTGAGGATCAGCGAGGTCCTTCTTCCGGATAAAAGCTTTCCCTCATTCATCAGATACATGTGGTTTATCTCCAGGATGAGTTCGCTGATGAACAGTAAGAGAAGTCTTCTTGGTAAAGCCCTTTCCACATTCCCCATGTCCATGAGGTTTTTCTCCAGTATGATTAAGCTGATGACCAGTGAGAGCACTCTTCATCATAAAGGCCTTTCCCCATTCACCGTGTACATGGGGCTTCTCTCCAGTATGAATTCGCTGATGATCAGTGAGGGCACTCTTCTTGATAAAGGCTTTCCCACATTCAACACATACATAGGCTTCCTGTACAGTATGACTTCACTGATGATCAGTTAGGTTCTTCTTGATAGAGACTTTTCCTCCTTCACCACATATATGTGGTTTCTCTCCAGTATGAATTTGCATATGAACAGTGAGCTCATACTTCCAGAAAAAGGATTTCCAACGTTCACCACATACATTGGCTTTATCTCCGGTGTGAAATCTCTGATGAACTGTAAGGCATGGTTCTGAGTGAATGTTTTACCACACTCACCACAGTCATGTGATTTTTCTCCAGTATAATTTCCCATATGAACAGTTAGAGAAGTCTTGCAGATAAAGGCCTTTCCACATTCACCACATACGTGGGGTTTCTCTCCAGGATGAGTTCGCTGATGATCATCGAGGTCCTTTTTCCGGATAAAAACTTTCCCACATTCACCACTTACACAAGGTTTCTCTCCAATATGAGTTCGCATATGAACAGTGAGCTCATCCTTCCAGATGAAGGATTTTCCATATTCACCACATCCACGGGGTGTATATCCGGTGTGAAATCTCTGATCAACTATAAGGTATTGTTTCTGAGTGAAAGATTTTCCACACTCACCACATACATGGGTGTTCTCTCGAGTATGGGTTCGCTGATGAACAGTGAGAGCAGTCTTCTTGATAAATGCTTTTCCACAGTCACCACATACGAGAGGTTTCTCCCCAGTATGAGTTTGCTGATGACCATTCAGAGCACTCTTCATCATAAAGGCCTTTCCCCAGTCACCATGTACATGGGGCTTCTCTCCAGTATGACTTCGCTGATGATCTGTCAGGGCACTCGTTTGATAAAGGCTTTTCCACATTCAACACATATATAGGCTTTCTCTCCAGTATGAGTTCGCTGATGATCAGCAAGGTCCTTCTTCCTGGTTAAGCTTTTTAACATTCACCACATACATGGGGTTTCTCTCCAGTATGAGTTCGCTGATGAACAGTGCGAGCAGTCTTCTTGATAAATGCTTTTCCATATTCACCACATACAAGAGGTTTCTCCCCAGTATTATTTCCCTTATGAACAGTAGAGAAATCTTCCAGATAAAGGCCTTTCCACATTCACCATGTACATGGGTTTTCTCTCCAGTATGAATTCGCTGATAATCAGTGATGGCACTCTTCTTTTTAAAGACTTTTCCACATTCACCACATACGTGAGGTTTCTCTCCAGAATGAGTTCGCTGATTATCAGCGAAGTCCTTCTTCCTGGAACAGCTTGTTCACATTCACCACATACACGGGGTGTCTCTCCAGGATGAGTTCGCTGATGTACAGTGAGAGCACTCTTCATCATAAAGGCCTTTCCACATTCACCATGTACATGGGTTTTCTCTCCAGTATGAATTCGCTGATGATCAGTGAGACCACTCTCCTTGTTAAAGGTTTTCCCACATTCACCACATACATGGACTTTCTCTCCAGTATGAGTTCGCTGATGACCAGTGAGGCCTTTGTTCTTGATAAAGGCTTTTCCACATTCAACACATATGCCAGGTTTCTCTCCAGGATGAGTTCCCTGATGATCAGCGTTGTCCTTCTTCCGGATTAAATCTTTCCCACATTCACCACTTACACAAGGTTTCACTCCAGTATGAGTGCTCATATGAACAGTGAGCTCATACTTCCAGATAAATGGTTTTCCACATTCACCACAGACATGTCGTTTCTCTCCAATATGAGTTCGCTGGTGAAGAGAAAGAGAAGACTTCCAGATAAAGGCTGTTGCACATTCACCACATTATTGGGGTTTCTCTCCGGTGTGAAATATCTGATGATCTATAAGGCATTGTTTCTGGGTGAAAGCTTTTCCACACTCACCACATACATGGGATTTCTCTCCAGTATGGGTTCGCTGATGAGCAGTGAGAGCAATCTTCTTGATAAATGCTTTTCCACATTCACCACATACGAGAAGTTTCTCCCCAGTATGAGTTTGCTGATGACCAGTGAGAGCACTCTTCATCATAAAGGCCTTTCCACATTCACCATTTACATGGGTTTTCTCTCCAGTATGAATTCGATGATGATCAGTGAGGGCACTCTTCTTGATAAAGGCTTTTCCACATTCACGACATACGTGAGGTTTCTCTCCAGGATGAGTTCGCTGATAATCAGCGAGATCCTTCTTCCTGGTAATGCTATTTTCATATTCACCATATACATGGGGTTTCTCTGCAGTATGAGTTCGCTGATGAACAGTGAGACCACTCTTCTTGTTAAAGATTTTCCCACATTCAACACATACATGGACTTTCTCTCCAGTATGAGTTCGCTGATGATCAGGTAGGTTCTTGTTCTTGATAAAGGCTTTTCCACATTCACCACGTACATGTGGTTTCTCTCCAGTATGAATTCGCATATAAACAGTGAGCTCATACGTCCACAAATAGGATTTTCAACATTCACCACATACATTGGTTTTATCTCCGGTGTGAAATCTCTGATGAACTTTAAGGCATTGTTCTGAGTGAATGCTTCACCACAATCACCACAGTTATGTTTTCCACACTCACCACATACATGGGATTTCTCTACAGTATGAGTTCGCTAATGATCAGTGAGAGCAGTCTTCTTGATACATGATTTTCCACATTCACCACATACGTGAGGTTTCTCCCCAGTATGAGTTGGCTGATGACCAGTGAGAGCACTCTTCATCATATAGGCCTTTCCACATTCACCATGTACATGGGGTTTCTCTCCAGTATGAATTCGCTGATGATCAGTGAGGGCACTCTTCTAGATAAAGGCTTTCCCACATTCAACACATACACAGACTTTCTCTTCAGTATGACTTCGCTGATGATCAGTTAGGTTCTTCTTCTTGATAAAGGCTTTTCCACATTCACCACATACATGAGGTTTCTCTCCAGGATGAGTTCGCTGATGATCAGCGAGGTCCTTCTTCCTGGTAAAGCTTTTTCACATTCACCACATACATGGGGTTTCTCTGCAGTATGAGTTCGCTGAGGATCAGTGAGGTTTTTGTTCTTGATAAAGGCTTTTCCACATTCACCACATACGTGAGGTTTCTCTCCAGAATGAATTCGCTGATGATCAGCGAGGTCCTTCTTCCGGATAAAAGCTTTCCCTCATTCACCACATACATGGGGTTTCTCTCCAGGATGAGTTCGCTGATGAACAGTAAGGGAAGTCTTCTGGATAAAGGCCTTTCCACATTCCCCATGTACATGAGGTTTTTCTCCAGTATGATTAAACTGATCAGTGAGAGCACTCTTTTTCATAAAGGCTTTTCCACATTCACCACATACATTGACTCTCTCTCCGGTATGAGTTTGCATATGAAGAGTGAGCTCCGACTTCCAGATGAAGGATTTTCCACATTCACCACATACATGGGGTTTATCTCCGGTGTGAAATCTCTGATGAACTGTAAGGCATTGCTTCTGGGTGAAAGCTTTACCACACGTAACTGATACATAGGATTTCTCTCCAGTATGAGTTCGCTGATGAACAGTGAGAGCAGTCTGCTTCATAAAGGCTTTTGCATATTTACCACATACAAGGGGTTTCTCTCCAGTTTGAATTCGCTGATGATCAGCGAGGTACTTCTTCCTGGTAAAGCTTTTTCACATTCAGCACGTACATGGGGTTTATCTTCAGTATGAGTTCGCTGATGTACAGTGAGAGCACTCTTCATCATAAAGGCCTTTCCAAATTCACCATGTATGGGGTTTCTCTCCAGTATGAATTCGCTGATGATCAGTGAGGGCACTCTTCTTGGTAAAGGCTTTCCCACATTCACCACATACTTGGACTTTTTCTCCAGTGTGAGTTTGGTGAGGATCAGTGAGGTTCTTGTTCTTGATAAAGGCTTTTCCATATTCACCACACAGGTAAGATTTCTCTGCAGGATGAGTTCGCTGATGATCAGCGAGGTCCTTCTTCCGGATAAAAGCTTTCCCACATTCACCAAATACATGGGGTTTCTCTCCAGGATGAGTCCGCTGATGAACATTAAGGGAACTGTTCTGGATAAAGGCCTTTCCACATTCCCCATGTACATGAGGTTTTTCTCCAGTATGATTAAGTTCATGATAAGTGAGATCACTCTTTTTCATAAAGGCTTTTCCACATTCACCACATACATTGACTCTCTCTCCAGTATGAGATAGCTCAGCATCAGTGAAGTTCCTCTTCTTGATAAAGGCTTTTCCACATTCACCACATACATGAGCTTTCCCTCCATTATGAGTTGGCATATGAACAGTGAACTCATACATCCACATAAAGGATTTTCCACATTCACCACATATATGGGGTTTATCTCCGGTGTGAAATCTCTGATGAACTGTAAGGTATTGTTCTTGGTGAAAGCTTTTCCAAACTCACCACATACATGGGATTTCTCTCCAGTATGAGTTTGCTAATGATCAGTGAGAGCAGTCTTCTTGATAAATGCTTTTCCACATTCACCACATACATGAGGTTTCTCCCCAGTATGAGTTTGCTGATGAACAGTGAGAGCACTCTTCATCATAAAGGCCTTTCCACATTCACCA